GTGGGGGGAGGGGGGACTGAGGAGATTGCAGTTGTCTAGAAAGCATCTATGTCTGAGCAGAGAAGGGGCTGTGATTTCGCCTGGGCTTTCACAGGCTTCTGGATACTGATTAGACGAGCAAAACTAGACTCTTGCCCTAAAGGCTTGGGAACTGCACTGTGTCCAGGTTTAGAGCTGAACTGCCCTACAGCACGGTCAACAGGGACAGCCGGCAATGGTTCTGAAGCCACTCAAAGTAGGAACACTGCTGCGCCAGTCACGTCTCTCCCAGGCGCAGGCTCTAAGGATTCCTGCCTGCTGCAGCCTGTCTCCAACAAATGTGTCTACTTCCTGCCCTGTCTTCAGAAACTGGAGGCACAGCAGCAGTAGTGGCGGGGCTGCAGCCAGGAAAACCCTTGGATTCCAAGAGTGGGCTAAGGTTCTGCAGAGACAAGAGGCTCTGGGATGTGGAGAAGGGTCGCTAAGAGGTTTGGAGGGATACCTTGCACGAGGCAGAGGTCTCTCTGCTGGCCCCTTACAAATTCGACACTGCATATCACAATGCTGGCCATCCCGAGGTTCACGAGGAGGCAGGCAGGGCTGCTCAGGGTAAAGTGGATGCCCTGGGCATCTTGACAGCCAGCACCAAGAGGTGTAAGGAGGCCATGGGGATCAGGCCGTTCTCCATGTGCTCCGGGGTAATCTTCCCCTGGGTTCCCATTCTGTAAAGCCAGGGGAGGGCCAGCTGCTGTCCAAGGGCTAGGCTGTGGGGAACCAGTGTGAGCAGTGGGGGCTTCTAACCCTGCCTTCCTGTGCCCAGGATCAGAGTCAGAGCCGAAGCTCGGGCCCCACCCCTGCAGAACAGGCGACCTGGAGGTACTCACAAACGCACCAGGCTATCCTGGGCCCCTTTGGGGAGCTGCTTACAGAGGATGACCTTGTCTACCTGGAGAAGCAGATCAACGACCTGCAGCTCCGGCGGCGCTGCCAGGAGTATGAGAGCGAGCTGGGCCGGCTGGCAGCCCAGCTACAGGCCCTCCTGCCCGAGCCCCTGGTCAGCATCACCGTCAACAGTCACTTTCTACCCCGGGCTCCAGGCCTGGAAGACGAGGAAGCCCAGGTCCTGGCACCTGAACTCGAAGCCTCAGCCGAGCTGAGGAAGGTCGAGCCCAGCGGGCAGCCTCTGCCCTTCTGGTGCAGCCATATAGGTCGCTTGGTGCGCAGCATGTCCCTGCTGCTGAAGGGCATGAACGGGCTGACACAGGGAGATGGGGAAAAGCCGCCCGTCCCCGTCCCGCAAGACCCGGGAAAGGATGCCATAACCGGCCCGCCTCGAAGCGAGGCCCAGCGCGAGATCCAGGAGTGCGGGGTGTCGGTGCGGACGCTGCGGGGGAACTTCGAGTGTGCACCGGATCTTCCCTACGCCTCGAACTCCGGTCCTTGTGAAATGGGGGGGCGGCCCGGCCAGTGTCTGCGAGGCTGCTGGTCGGCACCGCCACAGCCCCGAGGCGACCCGATGGGCGGGGAGCCCCGGCCGGGCGACACGGAGGAGGCCAGCGATTCTGGCATTAGCTGCGAGGAGGCCCCGTCAGAGGCTGGCGCGGGGCCGGGGCTGGACCTGGCCAGCCTGCGCAAGGAGCGCATCGTCATGCTGTTCCTCGGCCACTGGAAGAAGTCCGCCTACACACCCGCGCTTAGGACGGCCGCCTGCAGGACATTGGAGGCCCAGCGTGCGCGATCCAGGGGCAACGAGGCCACCGGTAGCTCCCGGTCGCCCTCCCCGCCGCCCAGCGATGGTCCCCGGCTCGGCCACCTGTGGCAGCAGCGCGGCATCATCACCCACCTGCTGGGCACCTGGAAGGCCATCATGGCGCATGTGCCGGCCCGGCAGCTGCGGAGGCTGAGTCGCAGGGCGCGCGGGCCCCTGTCCCCTGAGCAATTCTTGCCGCACGTGGATGGGGCGCCGGTACCCTACAACAGCCTCTCGCTGGACCTCTTCATGCTCGGCTACTTCCAGCTTCTGGAATGCGACCTGCCGGCCGAGGAGCGCAAGATGCGCCACTTACTGTGCTTCGAGGTCTTTGAGAACCTGGGCGCGCATGGCTGGGAGGCAGTGCGCGCCTTCCACAAGGCGGTGACCGACGAGGTGGCCGCGGGCCGCCGTGCCTGGACTGACGGCTTCGAGGACATCAAAGCCCGCTTCTTCGGTTCCTGCCAGGGTCCAGCCTGGGACATGGAACCTGGCCGCAAGCTGGGCCTGACACCACTAGGATCCTTGCCCCACGCTGCCCTCCCTGGCAGCGGCCCCGAACCTGCTATCCCGAGGCTGGGGTCAGACTCTCAGCGGGGCAGCTTCAACAGCGGGGACATCTGTGGCTACATCGACCGCAGCTTCGCCTTCTGGAAGGAAAAAGAAGCGGAAATGTTTAACTTTGGAGAATGACAGTTCACCCGGTGGAATGAATGGAACTCTGGGGGTGGAGTGGGATGGGGTGGGGTGGGGTGGGGTTCCTCTTTTTCATTCTCTTCCTTCCCTGTGAGTCACGTGAAGTGGGCATGGTGTAGGCTGACTCCAGTCTGTCTTCACGGAGACCAGAGGTCTCTTAAGTCATGGTGTCCATCTCTTCTGACTTGCGGTCAAAATCTTTGTCACCAGTGAGCCCAGGCTTCAGACCCTCGAGTGGCCATGTGGGTGTGATGCCATGCAGTCAAGGAGCTGGCATCCCAGCACTGACCAGCTCCCCCCCCCCCCCATCAGACTTGTTTCTAGCAGTCACCTGGCTGTCCCACTCCTGTTTCCATGGTGCAGATGGCCTCAGCCACAGCAACAGCCTCTCTACATCCCCTTCAGACCTCAGCCCTGCTTCTGCTCTTTCTTTCTTTCTTTCTTTCTTTCTTTCTTTCTTTCTTTCTTTCTTTTTCTTTCTTTCTTTCTTTCTTGCAACCTCCTATCTGTAACTGGAGTGGAGCCATGTCTAGTTTGAACAGTCTCCCTGGCAGGAGAGAAGAAGAGGGCAGGAGGGCTTATGGAGGAGACTTCAAAGCCCCAAGGCAGGCAAGTGGCCTTGCCCTGACGACTGTCCTGCTGGTCAGTCATAGCCTCTGCCATCATGCAAGCAACATCTCTCCTCTGATTCTGCTTGTTCCCTGAGGGAATGTTCCAGGCTAGGCCTTTGTCTTCCCGCCGTCCAGCCCCTCCCAGACCCACAAGTGGAGGCAGTAGCAGGGCACAGGAGAGTCCCATGAGCAGGGACACCAAGAGGTGAGTGAGGAGTCCTCTGAGCAGAGAAGTTGGCGCCCTCTGAAGGTAAACTGAGTTTCTGGGAATAGCATTCAGCGAGGGTAGGACATACCAGGGGTGTTCATACAGGCATCTGGGTGTCACCTACATAATACCCCCATTCCTGGTTAGGTACAGAGAAAGGAGCCAAATACCCTTGGGGATTCCAGGTACTATAGAGAGCTACAGCAGCCAGGGGCTAGAGAGGGAACCTCCAGGCTGTAAGGCTGGCTTGTCTTCAGATTCCGGCAGCATGCAGAAGAATGAGCCACCACCCAGCTCTTGGGGCCCAGAAGAACTGGGCTGGGACCCATGGGAACTTTGGCCTAGGGGATTTGTGAGGAGAATACATGGGAAGGGGATCTGCAGCCAACTTCCTTGAAGCAAAGGCATGCTCAATGAGGACAGGCCATCTCCACGAGTCTCCTGCAGTGTCCCCACATCACCACTAGGGGGAGTACGGAGCCCTAACCTTTGGGGCTGTTGACTGGAGCAGAGCCCACTCAGACCAAAGACTAGGCAGGGGTTCCACAGAAAGGGACCTCCAGGGAGATAAAACTGGTGTGGGTAAAGGGTGTTGTTGCGGAAAGAGCCACAAATTCCATTAGCGTTGGTTCTGGCTACGAGTTGCCTACAGCCCTAGCCTACCCTGGGACCTGCTCCCGGGGTGACTGGTGAACCCCTCTACCCAACCGTTGGCTTCCTCTGCTTCTAGAGTCTCACTGGGAGCTGAAGCGGGATGTGTGTTTGCTAAATAAAATTCCTGTTTCTGGCTGGTGCGCACTTGCTTATCACCCCAGCTCTTGGGAAAACTGCCTGGGTCTACAGAGCCTGGACACAGAGTGGACACTCAGACCCCAGCTCCTTCAGAGCATCCGCAGCATCAGGGCAAGATATTAACCCCAAGAGGACCCAGACTCCTCCCTGCATCATGGGATCAGGGATGCGGTGCTGATCCTGCTTTGTCTATCCCAGGTCCTGGTGGGATTGAAGGGTTGGTGGGTGGGTGAGGGGTTCTGCCCAGAGGCTCCCTGTAAGCTCAGATGCTCACTAGCCTGTGGTACTTCCGTGGGTAGGCAGACACAGTGGGAAGGACACCTGTAGGGTAGTTACTGCAACAAAGAAGGAGGCGGGGCTGTGGGTGGGTGTGGGGGCAACAATCACAGAGCCCAGCCAAGAAGTGGGCACACCCAGTCCTTACGGCCTTTGGACATCAGTTTCTCAGCTAAAAGGCCAGACTCAGACTCTCAGGGACACCCAAGAAGATCTGAGGAACCTAGAGCTAGATGGGGTGCCAGGCAGGGGAGGCAGTAGGGCCTCAAACCTAGGCTTGTGGCCCAAATGGAAGGCAACTTCTACAGACAAATCACTTCTACAGAAAGCCAGTAGCCATAGAGACTCTGTGGAGACCTGGGAGGTGTGGGGGGATCCAGTCTTCCTCTACATAGCCCAGCAGGTCCTCCACCCCAAAGCGGCCTTTAGATGACCAAGGCTTAAAGGTTCTCTAGTGGCGCCTGATGGGACATTCTGAAAGGACCACCTCAAAATGGTACTTGTGTGGCATTGCTCTTTTGAGACACTAGATTTGGGGACAACTTGTTCCACAGCGATAGCTGACAGATACAGCAGGGGAGCATAGGAAAGGACGTTGATTCTGACCTGAGGTGTCCTTAATATAAAGCAGTATCCATCCAGCAAGGTGGTTCTGACCCAAGAACAGAGAAGCCTGTCTGTTCACACATGCAAAGCACGGCTTGAGAGAAAAGTACTGCAGCCGCTCTCCAGGGACTGAAGAAGGGCCAGTCATGGCACGGAGAACAGCGGCTAACTGGTGAAAGAGAAGAGAATGCGTTTACAGCAACCCCCTCCCCAAGTCATTCTCACATGCACCCAAAGACTGTGTGCCAGCCAGAACATAAACCCTGAAGTGTAGGAGGCAGTCTGACTTGTGGGACCCTGCCCTGGGTTGGCCTCACAGCCACTGGAATATCCACACACCCCGCAAAAGCAAGCGTGCCTCTTCCAGACCTGGTCCCTCTGGTGTGACTCGAAATTTTTGAAGATTTTAGTGGCGCATTTTAGTTTGGTGAACTGACACTCAGCATCTATTCTGGGGAAATATCTCTACCTGCATAGCTCATACTCTTCATCATAGTGTCCAAAATGGAAGATGACCCAAAAGTCCATGAATAGGAGCTGTGCCTGGGGTCACATCTAGCTTTGGGAAGAAGACATCTCTCTGTCAAGATGAAATTTAAACCCGTGTTTTCAAACCAATCTCCACAAAACCCATGATTCAGCACCAAGTGATCAAGGCAGTGACATGCACATGTCCAGTTAGCCAGCCAGCCAGCCATGTGCGCACATCCAGATTCATGGCTGACTGTCCGTGAGGGCTGTTGTCATTTGCTATTAGAGAGTTCTGCTTTATATCTTTATACTTTTTAAAAACGTGTGTGATTTTTATCACCATGGGCCTACTTTAAAGTCCCAGTTCCTGGAAGCAGTCTGTCGTTTAGAGCCCCCAGTGTTGTGTCTTCTGCCAGGTCTGTCATCCAGTGATCTGTTGGGCCTCCAAGGCCCGTGCAGTCTGCTGGGAAGCCTGCTCACTTAGCACAGCCAGCTCCCTGTGACAGCCTGTGTTATAGTTCCTGCTCCTCATTCCCTCCAGACGGAGCAGGCAAGCGCTGACTGTGTACACGGGGCGGTGAGAAAGCCTTCACCTCGCTTTGGTGTCTTCTCCTTGGTGGCCTCAAATGCACAGCAGACAAGGACACCCATGAGGGTCCCCTATACCATGTGAAGTTAAATACCAGAGAAGGAGAGAGAGAGAGAGAGAGAGAGAGAGAGAGAGAGAGAGAGAGAGAGAGAGAGAGAGACTCTGTGCCACAGAAGCAGGACGAAGGAGAAAGCTCTAGGGCCAAGCGCCAGGGATCCACTGCACATGGAATCTGCCAATGTGAGGAGTTGGTTAGGCCTTCTGGGGCTCCCCTGGTGGTGCTCTTGTTTCTCCTGGGCGCAAGGCTATAGGGTCTGCTCATGAACTTCTCCAGCTGTTGCTGGCCAAGTAGGTACCACGCGTCCCCTGCACTCTAATATCTAATTTGCCAGGAGGGCTGTCACGTCACTCAAAGCCATCTGGGACCCTGTCTATGAGAGCGTCAGTTCCATCCCTAGGGACCTCCGAAAGCAGCACACCAATGACCATGTTACTAAAGCCCACGTGTGAGAAGGAAGGAGGGACTGGGTGGTGAGGCCCTGGCTGGTCACCCACCCTGCACTGAAGCCCCTTACCTGGTAAACTTGACCTTCCTCGGGTCCCTGACCCAAGATGACCTTGACTGATATAAGCATCCTAGACTCTTTCTGTGAAGTGTTTCCCATGAACCAAGCATTACATGGAAGGTTGCAAACCTTGGCTGTTTTGTTTTTAGATGACCCCCCTCCCCCATTTCTTAGCTGCCTGAAGCACTCAGGATAGAGGGAAACACCGGGGCAGCCCAAGACCAAGGCTTTGTTTATCATGTGGGGAGAATCCCGGTCTCTCCCACCCATGCACCCGGATGTCAGGGAGCCTTGTCACTATCCCGAGCACCAACTTTGCCGCTGAAGCCTCCCCAGCCACCACTGTGGACTTCAAACTTGGAGACAAGGCTGACCAACCTGTGCTTACTTGTGATGTGACCATCCCACTCCACAGAGGGACTGTGGCTACCTGGGCCCCCATCTGTACAATGATGAAGGTCCTTAGTGTCAGCCCTGAGCAGTTTTCTATGGGTCCCACAGGCCCCAGGTGCAGGCAGAATCCTGACGTCTCCACCCTGCCATGTCTCCGTCTCATGTTCTCAGCTTCCTCAGCTCAACCTGATTGCCTGGGACATGAATCAAAGCACCTGCTTGCCCGAAAGGCTTCCTCCTGTCCATCCTAGCACTCGGGTACCCAGACGTCTCCTGTGTGATGCTGACAATGTGGGCTTTCAAAGGAGACAGTCTTTGAAGAGCTGTGACCTCACGCTCTCCCCCTCCAGTCTCCCCCTCCCTCCATACAGAGGCTAAAAATACCCCTAAGTTCCCACGTGGCCTGCCCAGCCCAGCCCGGCAGGCCTCCTTTGTGGGCCACACTTCAGCCTAAGTCTTGTCCTTTGGTCTACGATCTCAGCAAGGGACCCTAAGGAAGTCTACTATCAGGTAAGATCACGGGATCTACAGGAGAAGCTTAGCAGAGTCCTCTACAGACAAGGAGTTCCTGGGGGTCCGATGGGTTCCAAGAGGGAAGCTGGACCCTAGGAATGCAGCCAGAGACACATTAGCCAGGCTAGATTAAAGCCTTTGCCCTTCTGCCTTCTCACCCATGGGCAGTCCTCGTAAGACTCTAAACTCCCCTCTACCCTCCAGCCTCTGTGGACTGCAGTCGGTGGCAGCAGGTATCTCTGAGGCCCCTTGGAGAGGTGCTGAGCGCACAGGCCTGATTGCACCACTGTAGCCCTAGTCCGTAGCCAAAGAGCCCAGCAATGACCGAAATGCAAGAACTGTGGGCGTTGGCTTGGGCATAGCCAGCCGGCCCTACATAGGTCCCAGCTGATACATTGTAACCCCAGTCAGAGGTCTCCTCAAGAAGTTAAACAGGATAGATTCCTGGTGGGTATGGGGGCCTTGAAGTCACCAGTCCCTGAGCCTCCCTTTGCAGGCCTGGTCCTGAAGAAGTCCTCAGGTAGGTCCCTGTGCTGTAGGAAGGAGATTGCATCAGGGATTGGGACATAGGCCTCAAGTTCCGAGCCCACCCCAGTCACAGATTCTGTGGTTTGCCAGTTCCCTGGATAGGACTTGTCCCTTGATTTTCTCATTTTCCCGTCCCTTCTTTCTTTCTAAAAGAATATTTTTGGCAAGTTCTCACTATGTAATCCAAGCAGGCCTGGAGCTTGCTGGTAACCCCACGTGGCTCAGCTTTCTGAGGGTGGGGATTGCAGGCCTGCCCTGCTATGACCAATGACTATTTATTTCTTTGGTGGTTTCCTTCGGGCGAAATACCAGACATGAAAATAGTTAAGTCTAGAAGTTGGTCTGCTGACAGGGCCACGTACACAACGTGATGGGAAAGTTGTCAGAGTTAAAACTGAGTTCCCAGGGGCAAGCCTGGTTCTGAATTCCATTGCTGGCTGCCCCGCTTCCCAGCTCTGTGGTCTTGAGCAGATAACACAGTCAGTGTCTCTGTAAAATGATAGCATGACCGCGGGGCCAAATGTGAGCACAGGAAGTGGCTGTGTCTAGGGACTGTCCCAGAGGGTGACCCAAAGCCCTTTCACCTTCAGTCTCTCCATCAGAAGTCAAGGAAACAGGACCAGAGAGGATGTGGCTCAACCAAGTCACCCAGCAAGGTCATGCAGACAGGCTGTGAAAACCAATGGTGTGGGGCGAAACCTAAAAACACCTCCAGTGGCTTACCCAGCAACATGGAGCCGGAGAGAGGAAGCCTTTTGGGTGCTTGGAGCAGAGAGGTTTCCTAGCCCAAGAGGTCTGTGATATGGAAGATAGGAGGCCTGGCGCTTGTGTTCTCTACATGGTTCAGTATTACCCTAACTAGTTGGCTAACCATAACTAGTAGATCTAACTAGTAGATCTAACCCTCCTTTCCCTCCCTATAAAGTGGAAGCAGCAGTCTGCTTGCCCATGGGGCTGAGGACCTAGGAGAGAGCAGGATGTGAGATGCCCAAAATGCCCCCACACTGGCAACATGCAGTAAAAGGGCACTTGCCAGGAGTAGGGATGGCTGGTGCCCAGACAGTCATACAATGAGTCACAGGTGAATGAGATGGTAGCTCTCATATCTGACCCTGTTTTCCTACTTAGGTGCTCAGGCGAGCCCCAGGTTCTACTTCTGGGGTAGAGGGTAGGCCACGAAAGTCTCTGTGGGCACTCATCATGGTGAGAAATCTCGACAACCTGGACTTCCATCTGCCTTCTCATGCCCAAGACATGCTGGACGGCCTTCAGCGTCTGCGTTCCCTGCCCAAGCTGGCCGATGTCACACTCCTGGTTGGTAACCAGGAGCTTCCCTGCCACCGCAGCCTTCTGGCTCTGAGCAGCCCCTACTTCCACGCCATGTTTGGCGGAGACTTCGCTGAGAGCTTTTCGGCCCGTGTGGAGCTGCGCGACGTAGAGCCGGTTGCAGTGGCACAGCTGGTGGACTTTGTGTACACAGGCCGGCTGACCATCACCCAGAATAACGTGGAGGTGCTGACCCGCACTGCCTCACGCCTTCACTTCCCCACTGTGCAGAAGGTCTGTGGCCGATACCTCCAGCAGCAGTTAGACGCCACCAACTGTCTGGGCATCTGCGAGTTTGGGGAGCAGCAGGGGCTATTAGGTGTGGCGGCCAAAGCCTGGGCCTTCCTGCGGGAGAACTTCGAGGCGGTGGCCCAGGAGGATGAGTTTTTGCAGCTGCCTAGAGACCGGCTGGCCACCTGTCTGGCCAGTGACCTGCTGCAGGTACAACCGGAGCAGAGTCGGCTCGAGGCCCTGCTGCGCTGGGTGCGCCATGACCCTCAGAACCGGTCTGCCCATCTGCCCGAGCTCCTTAGCCTGGTGCATCTGGATGCTGTCCCGAGGCCCTGCGTACAGCAGTTGCTGGCCACAGAGCCGCTGATTCAGGAGTCAGAGGCATGCCAGGAGGCCCTGTCTCAGGGCCACAGTGGGGTGAGTGAGGGGCAGGGGACTTCCAGCCAAGGTGTGGAGGAGGAGCCTAGAGGTCCCACCCGCATGGGGAGAAAAGAGTGGGCACTCTCATAGTGCCCGACTGAGTATGGCTCCCTGCTAAGACTGGTCCCCCGAGAGAGCATCACGGTTCATCTATCAGGTGTGCCTCGCTCTGAGTACCAGGGGAAGAACCTAGACCTGTCTCTATTTTTAAGAAGCCTACTGCTGAGTGAGGATGAGTCTAAATATGGATCTAATGCACAGTGGAAAGGGCAGCACTGGGGGGGTCTAGGGGCCTCTTGGTGAGGACAGACAGTCAGGAAGAATTCCCTAGAGGACTCAGCATCAGAGCTGGGCACAAGGTGAACAGGAGGGAAACACAGGAGTTGGATGGGAGGATGACGAGGGAAAACTGTCCAGGACAATGGCCCAGGGGCACTGTTGGGCCTGTAACTAGGCTCCGGCTGAACCTGTATGGAGTTCCAGTCCTGCTCAGGCTGGCAGTGAGGTGGCATCAGGCGGGACCTGACAGAGTGACGGGCCTAGCTGTGGTTGCCCCAAGGGTAATCGGGAGTGCCTGGGAAAGCCCTTTGTGACTTTTGAGAGACACGGCTCTTCACAGGGTGGGGGTGGGCGTGTGCCCTGGGTAAGAGTGTGGATAGTGTGGGGTGTGCAGGTGGTGTGCCCTGGGTAAGGGCGTGGATGGGTTGAGGTGTCCAGGGGGTAAGAGTATGGATGCATTGGGGGTGTGCACTGGGTAAGGGCATGGATGGGTTGGGGTGTGCAGGGGGTAAGGGTATGGATGGGTTAGGGGTGTGCACTGGGTAAGGGCGTAGATGGGTTAGGGTATGTAGGGGGTAAGGGTGTGGATGGTTTGGAGGTGTGCACTGGGTAAGGGTATGTGGATGGGGTGGGTGTGTGCACGGGGTAAGAGTGTGGATAGGGTAGGGGTGTCAGGGGGTGTACCCTAGGTAAGGGTATAGATGGGTTAGGGCGTGCAGGGGATAAGGGTATGGACAGGTTGGGGGTATGCCCTGGGTAAGGGTGTGTGGATAGAGTAGGGGTAGCCATGGGGTAGGGGTGTTCACAGTGCAGGGTTGTGCACCACCATGCCCAGTTCATGCAAACATGCAGGCACAGGGGCTCACAGATGCATACGCACACACTAAGGCCCACCTAACCTCAAGCACAGACACTGACAGATCAACACCCATGGGCCCTTGCGCTGGACAGACAGTAGCTGGCCACTCTGACCTGGCTCCCACCCACAGGAACTTCCTGGCCACCCACAGAAGATGCAGGAGGTACTGGTGGTCGTAGGAGGGCGGGCACTGGAGGAGGACGAGGAGGGTGGTGAAGAACCTAGCCACCACACTGGGAACTTTGCTTTCTACAACACCAAGGCCAGTAAGTACCTGCCATGCTTGTCTTGGACATGATCCATGCACCACCTTGGGGTAGAGCCAGTGAGGTATCCAGAGAAGGGGGGACCTGACAAAGCCCTACCTGCAGAAGGTTGTCAGACCTTACCAGGCTAGCAGGGGAGCCTAGAGGCTATGAGGAGCTGGGTAATACTTTTAGTTTGTTCTCCCTCTGGCAGAAGCCCCACCTCTGGTTTTTATTAGGCTCTGATTGGTGGGTGTCTTAGCCCATTAGTTGCCCTAGGTTTCCCTGCCCTGTGCACCCAGTGTGGGAACCAATGCTCTAGCGGGGAAATGGGAGCAAAGAGGGCGCAGACAGCCCAGGAGTTAAAGTTCAGCTTCTGCGTCAGCCCAAACTGGAATCCAATCTGACCCTAGGACAGGTCATTTAACCTCCCTGGGTGTGTCTTGATTTTTCTCATCTGTGAAATGGGTTCCCATGGTTGTAAAGAGGCCTGGGGAAGGGTAGTAGGGCACCCCACCGGCCATCTGCCCAGGAGGGCTCTTGGGAAAGAGCTGATGTGGGCTGGCTGGCTTCAGGACTAAAGTAGGTCGCTAGCACCCACTGCAGTAGCTCTGGCTGGCTGGAGGAAGCCCAAAGCCAGCAGACTAGGTCAGAGACTGACGAGTAGGGATTTGGGGTTGACGTCAGGAGAGAGCAGCTGGCTGGCAACAACGGTTTGCTGATTGTTGGGCCATCCTCACCCTGGGGTGACACAGACATGAATCAGGGGACACTCCGTTCCCATCCAGGGCGCCAGGCCCGGCTTGCCATGAGTCCTAGAATTCTACATGTTCCCAAACTGTCATAAACAGTCAACAGTATTCCAGGGGACTTCCCCAAGGCCTGGTCTCCCACAAACACTTGCAACGAGTCCATTCATAGGATTTGACTTTCCCACGCCTATGATCTCATGATGGTTTCTTTCAAAGCTCTCCTCATCACTCTGCCCCTCACAACAGCAACAGCANCTCATGATGGTTTCTTTCAAAGCTCTCCTCATCGCTCTGCCCCTCACAACAGCAACAGCAACCTAACAGCCTCCACTGGTGGGCACTTTCCAAGAATCCCATATCTCTTATCACACCTTTTAAAATCTATCTATCTATCTATCTATCTATCATCTATCATTTATCTATCTATTATCTATCTATATCTATCTTCTATCCATCCATCATCTATCCATCTTTCTATTTGTCTATCATCTATCTATCTACCTATCAATCTATCTATCATCTATTATCTATCTATCTATCATCTATCTATCTATCTATCTATCTATCTATCTATCTATCTATGGGGTGTGCACGCGCCATGGTGCGCAGGTGGAAACAACTTGTGGGAATTGGTTATCTTCTTCTGTCATGTGACATCTAGGGATCAAACTCAGATCATCAGCCTTGATGACAAGAGCCATCTTTACTGACTGGGCCATCTCTCAGATCCAGTTCACCCCCATTCTATAGACAGGGAAGCCGAGGCTGGGCCGTGTCTAAGGTCACACAACGGGTGCATGCAAGCCAGGACTTGGACTCCGTTCTGCCTGCTGCAAGGCTGGTGTCTCATTCTCTGGATATCTTGTCTGCCTTGTAACTGGAGAGAGGCTCGGGATGGATGGATAAATGGATGCGTAATGCCCACACACGGTCGATACCCTCTGTGACAGAGGCGGACTAGGTCCATTTAGGGTCAGCAGGGTGGGCTTCAGGCCAGGGTGCCATCAGCCTGCAGATCTTTTATACCCTTGTTCCACTCTCGTCCAGTCTGTGCCCAGGCTCTAAGGGGTGTCATGGGGAAAGCGATGAGCTGGGACACCCCAGGCTGTCTCTGACCCTGTTTTCTTCATCACTAGTGTGTGTGGGGGGGGGGGGGGTGTTCCTGCACTCAGTTTCTGAAAATGGAGCCAGGGCAGTCGGGGGAGCAGAGGACCTGCAGAAACACTGCCACTCTGACCTTCTGCTCCTCTCCCACCAGGGCAGTGGATGGCACTCCCGGACTTCCCCGATTACCACAAGTGGGGCTTCTCCCTGGCTGCGCTCAACAGTGATGTCTATGTCACAGGTGGGTGGCCCAGAGCTCCTAAGGATCCCCTGAACAACTTGGTACTGCACCGGCCTCTCCAACCAACTCTCCTGCCCAATAGGAACCTGGAAAGTCTACTAAGACCTTCCAGACCTTTCTACACATCTGAAAGTGAGGGATTTCCAGAGGTAGAGATGGGGCAGAAACTCGAGGTCATCCTTGGCTACACAGCAAGCTTGAGGCCAGCCTGCCGCAAACACGCAAAAACCAAAACAAGTCTAAAGCAAAGGAATAAAAATTCTGACAGGTGCTAGGAGCCACCACTGTGTGTACTGAACCTCTCTCTGGCAGGTGGCTCACGGGGCACCAAAACAGACACCTGGTCAACCACCCAAGCCTGGTGCTTCCCGCTGAAGGAAGCTGTCTGGAAACCTGTGGCACCCATGCTGAAGGCCCGCACGAACCACGCCAGTACAGCCCTGAACGGAGAGATCTATGCCATAGGTGGTGAGGTCTCCCTCCCCATCACCATGCCCCTCATTCCTAGAGCCAGTGGTCCCCACCCCATCCTTCACTGGGGATGTTGCTCGGGAGAGCTCTCTGCCTTCTGGGGTCAGTGAACCCCATGCAGGTTGTCCTTAGACCCCTTGTCTGGGCCATCTTGGACAGGCAGCCCCTGTTTTCCTGTCCTGGAGAACTCAGAGACCCAGAACCAGCAGGAATGATCAGACACACCCCAGAAACAGGGACTCAAACCTCAGCTCAGAGTCACTGGGAAGTCTTGAGGGTGAATGACCCACAGTGACCTCCATGCCGCTATCAGCCTGACACAGGGACCACCTTGTCACCCAGACGCCCCAGGGTTACAGCAAAGACTTTCTCTGGAGAGCATACTGGCTAGATGAATATTAAAATAAGACCCAGAGGTGGCTCCAAAGAGCCGCAGGCAACAGTGGATTGAAGCCATTTCTAATACCTGTATAGGGGACTGCCTTTTTCTCTAATAATTGCTGTGTTCCTGGCTAGGAAATAAAGAGCATCCATAGACCTGAGACCCAGGCACCTTGGGGTGCCCAGAGACTCATGTTTTGGGGTCTCACAGATGCATGTACCTATAATAAGTTATTACAATTGGCACATCCACTCCACTGGGGGCTGTTGCCATAGTTTTATGCCTTACAACCTTTTCTCCCAGGACTTGCCCTAGGGACCAGTGCCCATCATCCCACCCCCATACCACTTCTTGGTGTGGTCTTGGGAAGGCCCTGCCTATGAGGGGGCCCAGTTCACTCCCTCCCCAGGTTCTACCTCCATCGTTCACCTTCCCTTCCTGGAGCCATCTCTGCCACCCTACATTTCCAGGACCCTTTCCTATGTCTAGACCCCAGTGCCCAGCTCCTACCCATCTAAGGACATCCTTCCTTAGGCACCGCCCTGGATGCGGTAGAGGTGGAGCGGTATGACCCCTACACGGACAGCTGGACTCCCGTCAGCCCGGCCCTCAAGTATGTCAGCAACTTCTCGGCTGCCAGCTGCCAGGGCCGCCTCTACCTAGTGGGCTCCAGCGCCTGCAAGTACAACAGGCTGGCTCTCCAGTGCTACACCCCCGTGACAGGTGGGCAGGCCTCCCTGATGGCCTGTATTCCCAAGGGAACAGGTCCGAGCGGGGCTTGTAGTTTCTGAATCTGGCAGGACAGCCACGTGGGGAGGTGTGGGTTGGATAGATGCAGAGCCCCAGGGACTCCCCGAAGCCTGTGGGAACGAGGCGGGAGGGCGGCCAGGTCAACCCCCTCCTGCACCCCTCATGGCCCAGTGAGAGGCAGTCAAGGCCTCACAGTCCACTGGTCCAGGTTTGTTCCATAGGCATTGAGGGTGCTGGAGCTCTGGAACCCTCAGGTGGAGCCCTCATGACCTTCCCCAGTGAGGAGCTGCCCCCTCCTCCTGGTGAAGTTGCCCATCCATGTGCCCGGCAGATGCGTGGAGTGTGATCGCCTCACCTTTCCTGCCCAAGTACCTGTCCTCTCCACGCTGTGCTGCCCTGAATGGAGCCCTCTATCTCATTGGTGACAACACCAAGAAAGTCTACGTGTATGACCCCGGGGCCAACCTGTGGCAGAAGGTGAGTCTCCCCATGCCTCCCTCATGGAGTCTTGAATTCCTGATACCCCAGAGATGCAACAGAATGGAGGTGTGGAGGAATGCCCCAGATGCCAACAGAGATGCAGGACAGGCCTCCAGGCTCTCTCTAGAAAATAGGGTGGTCCCACAGTACCAGGGACTATGGAGACACAGGCCATAGCTGCTGGTCGCTGTCAAGTCCCTTTCCTCTGAATTCTTGTGATTCTTTCTCAGGGATCAGATCCATGTTCAGGGTGAGTGTCTCTGGCGCAGCCAGAGATAGAAAGGAAGAATCATCTGTTAGCCGTGGGGCAGTGAGCATCCCACCCCATGGGAGTCCAAAAGCAGGTGGATCCTGAGCTAAGAGAGTTGGGGGTGCCATCTCAACTTGCCCCTCTTTTTTAGCCACTAGGCCCAGGAAGGGGTAGGAGGTGAGCGTGTCCAGACTCCCTCATAAGGAACCAGAGTCTGGCCTTTCTCCTCAGTTTCAGGCTGATGTTCTGGACCAGTCCACCTACCTCTCAGTTCCCAGTCCCAGGACCCTGATGAGCCAGCCTGAGGACAGAGTGCCCACTGAGTCCCACTGCCCACAGTTGCCCTCTGGTTTCAGTGTTCCCTGACTGGAGGCCCCATTACGGTAGCAGAAGAGGTAGAGAGCAAGCCCTGCCAGGCAGCTCTGGGCTCAGACCTCAGCACCCCATTTCGATCCTTGACACCAGAGCCTGAAGGAGAGAGACAGCCTGTTAGACGTAGGTTGGTGAGAGACCATAGCCTCACAGGTAAATAAAGTCTTTGGTATAAGCACAGTGGGCAGTGGATGAGCTCAGGGATTCAGGGTCAGCTGTCTGTCCCCAGCCCCACCAAGAGCATCCTTGTTTCCCCCCTCCAGTTGCCCACTGGTCCCTGACAGCTGCCATTCACAGGTGCAGTCTCAGCACAGCCTACACGAGAACGGCGCCCTGGTCTCTCTGGGTGACGCGCTGTATGTGACAGGTGGCCGCTGGCAGGGCATGGACGGCGACTACCACGTGGAGATGGAGGCCTATGACACTGTGAGGGATTCCTGGGCCCGCCACGGCTCCCTACCCCGTCTCTGGCTCTACCACGGGGCCTCTACCATCTTTCTGGACATCTCGAAGTGGACGCAGCCCTTCAGCCCCAGTGCCGGTCAGGAGCACTAGGGAGGGAGGAGCTCCTGGGTCAGTTCTACATTGCTGTGCAGAATGGCTCCTTTTGTGCCTGTCTTCCATTCATTGTGAGCTGCTGCCCCCTCCAGGGCTTGGGCTTGGCTCAATATCAGATGTCACAGCTGAGGACACAGCTCTGGTCTCCGGTGCTACCAAACTTTGTGACCAGCAATGAGAGTGAGACCCTGACGCTAACGTTTGGTAGGGGAGAGAGCTCTGAAGACCTCCGAGAAGGAAGCTGAGGGGTCCTGGACTACACTCACCAGGCAAACAGGCTCCAAAGTGTCAGCTCTTCTTGCTCTACCCATCCATGGTTTTGGGGGGAAAGCTGCACAAATTAGGGGTTCATTTGGGTACCCAGAACTCTGAGCCAGGTCCTCAAGCTTGGGTGCTCACCGCAGCTCTTTGACCATGTCCACAGGTTCCTCTCTCCCCTCTTTCCTCAGATTCCACATTCACCCCCCCCCATGGGGTGGCTAGATAAAGGCCAGGTTCTCCCCATCCCTGGCTTCTACATGTTGGTACCATGTTTACAGATCTGCTTCTGGGATGAAGGTGGCTCCTGCCCCACCAGGGGTACCTCTGACACCAGAAGGCAGCCACTGAAGAGACACCAGAATGTGATACGGGGCAGGAGAGTAAGACAGTGGAGGATCTCCTTAGAAAGTGGCTCTCAACCTTCCTAATGCGGAGACCTTTTAATACGTTCCTCATGTTGTGCTGACCCCCCTCCCACACACACACCATAAAATTGTTTTGTTGTTTCTTCATAACTGTAATTTTGCTACTGTTATAAATTATAATGTAAATAGCTGATATGCGACCCCTCACCCTAGTCTTCAGGGACTTCTGGAGATGGCCCCTGGCTGTGTCAGAAGTTTGCTCCCAGTGATCTGCTGGATGGGGTGGGGCTAATATCTGATGGGCTCGTCTGTTGTTCGGGATGTGATTTGGACTGGCTGAGACTTTAGTCTTACTGAGGTTGTGTGTGGCTCAGTCTCCACCTATTCTCTGGTTTTTTTCCTCCCTCCCATCTTTACTTCCTTTGTTTCTTCTCTCTCTTCTTCTCCTCCAGAACAAGGTACTAGATTTGTAACCAAACAATAAAGGACTCTCACTGTGTGTGAGTGGCATGGTCTGTCTGTTAGAGTCTAGTGAGGACCTAGACTGTAGGTTGGGAATTGATTGGGCCAACACCAGCTACTACCCACTGAGGCCTTGAGTGGCCCCAGCTCCCACTGCATGTGGACTTCTTCAGGCCCAGCCCAGGGGACTAGAGTGGCCCCTGACACCCCTGGGTTCTGAGGACAGAACTCAGCTCCATCCTGCTTTTGCAAGTCCAGATTCACTTTGCTCCTAGACTAACTCAGAGATCAAAAAGGGCAGGGTATATGGGTGTTGGCTTCTAACAGAAGGGAATCCAGACTTGGGTTGAGTGCTCCCAGGGTATGGTAGTTTGAGTAAGAATGGCTCCCATAGGCATTTCAATGCTTAGTCATCAGGAGTGGAACTGTTTGAAAGGATTAGAAGGATTAGAAAGAATGGCTCCCAAGTGAGCCATCCCAGGGCTCTGCCCCCCCCCCCCAAATGTCCTACTGTGTTTTCCAAGCATTCCATCCCAGGGCTCTGCCCACGGCAAATGGCCTACTGTGTTTTCTAAGCCTGCCATCCCAGGGCTGTTCAAAGGTAAAGGCTGAAAGAGTGCAGCTGACTCTAATCAGAAATGGGGAGTTGGACCAGGCAGTGGTGGCACTCGCCTTTAATCTCAGCACTAGGGAGGCAAAGTCAGGCGGATCTCTTGGGAGTTCGAGGCCAGCCTGGTTTACAGATTGAGTTCCAGGACAGCCAGGGCTGTTACATAGAGAAACCCTGTCTCAAAAAAAAAAAAAAAAAAAAAACCCACAAAAAGAAAGAAAGAGTGAGCGGGAAGTCCTGGCGTGGGAACACATGCTGTCCAGGGCATGGTCCTCAGCTTTGCTGAGTTGTGCCTCATCAGGCCTGTTTAGATCAGTGGCATGCTCAGTGTTCCAAGTGGAAAGTTCCTCCAGCTAGGGAGCTGAGAGTCTAAGGGGCGTCTCCAGCTGGGGGCCAGCTGCAAGGGAGTCCAGGCAGAGCTGTGGAAATGCCAAGAGCTAGCAACACAGGGTACCCTGACCACCTGCTTCTGGGGACACAGGAAGACAGTGGGTGCTGCTGATAGAACTGCCAGGGAGCACCGCTATAGCCACAGTGCCTGCTGTGCAGGAGAGATGTCCCTAACTCTCCTGTCCCCGTCTCTTGCTAGTGCTGCCCCTTGGCCAAACCAACCAGAACCTAGGGAGGGGAAAGAGGGTGCTGGCACAGTCCACTAAAGCCACCCTAAGGACACAGATGGGTGGAAAGGGGACACTCACCAGCACACCACACAGAAACTCGGGCACGCTGGTCACTCATGAGATCCTTCTGTAGACAGACCCACATGTAATGCAGGGGAAGGCCACAGGCAGCCAAAGAATCCTTTCTCAGGGTCCCAAGGGAAACAAGGACTAGATGTTTGAAGCTAATGAGGCTTCTAGTGAGGACATAGAGTCCTCAGGAGCTCATGAAGGCTACAGAAGCCCTCGGAGCCCTAGAGGCCTCAAGAACACTCGGAGACCCAGTGCCTTCATTACTATTCTATTGCTGTGAAGAGACAGCATGACCAAGGCAACTCCTGCAAAGGAACAGCATTTAAGGGGGGCTTGCTTACAGTTTCAGAGTTTTAGTCCATTATCATCATGACAGGGAGCATAGTGGCCTGCAAGGGGCTGGAGAAATAGCTGAGTGCACCATTGTGATCTACAGGCTGAGAGAGTCAGGGCCTCGCATGGGCTTTGGAGACCTCCAAGCCCACCCTCAGTGACCCACTTTCTCCAATAAGGCCACACCTCCTAATTTTTCTAATCTTTTCCAACAGTTCCAATTCCTGGTGGCCAAGTATTCAAACATATGAGCCTATGGGGGCCATTCTTATTCAAAACCACCACGTCCTGGGAGCACTCAGAGTCTTCAGGAGCACTTAGATCAAGCAGAAGCACTCAGAGCCCAAAGGAGCACTCGGAGCCCACAGAGCCACTGACTGTAAGGCATGGTAACTGGGCATGGATGTGCTTTCTTTTGGTAACTCCCTGACACTCGCCAGCTCCGTTCTCCATTTTCTTCATTTTTGTGATGGGGACAGTCATGTGATCTGAGCACGGATGGTCCATTCATGTGGTAGGCAGACCAGGTGACGCCATAGCTATCTGCCTGTGCTCTAGAGGCCACACAGGTAGGCGGCTTCGGGCAGGCTCCCGTTGCCTTTGAGTTAACAGAGATTGCATCCCAATGACCTCATCAGCCAACAGCCTTCCTTTGGAGGAAGTGGGACCCTGGGAAAGCTTGGCTCGCTGAACTGCCAGGAAGCCTGGACAAGGCCATGACATGAGGGCACAAGAATGAGGATTAGATTTCTGCCAGGCGAGAAGGCACATGGGGAGGTCACTCCAAGTTCTGCCTGCCCTGTCCTATGGCCACTCCTTCAGCAGCTCTACCCAGATGCAGGCACCACCCTCAAGGGTTCCACTTCTGAATAATAGTTCCATCAGTACTGTGGGTTCTGGACCCCATTTCTAATGCCCCGTGAGCTTCGTTGTGCACTGTCCTCCAGAGGGACTTGTGTTCAAATGGGACCCTACAAACAATTAGGAGCCTTTCCTGAAAGCCCAGAGTCCCAGGGCCATGGGCTTGGCCTGGGCTGCGTCATTACCTTGAGCTAGGGCCCAGGAAGCCATGCCAGCACCAGAACCGATTGGATCTGGGCCCTCTGGAAGAACCCATGACGTCACTAGGACAGTCTACTGGAAAAATAATTATTTTCACATGGTAGCAGATCCTGATGTCAGCCCTGCCGCTGGGGCCCTCACTGTGATGAAAGTAAGGCCGCTTGACATCTTAGGGTCATGCTCCCTAAATCAAGCCCCCTCATCAGATTCCCTCTTTTGGCCTTTAAGGGCACATGCGCTCACATGTGCATGTGTGTGCACGTGTGCGTGTGCGCGAGCGAGCACACACACACACAGAATTTAAGATTAAAACTAAATAAATAAATAAACCCAAAGAAAGCCAGGTGTGCTGGCTTATGTCAAGCCAGTGCAATGACAGCTGCCCAAGGCAGAGTGGGCCTGCCTATTTGGAGGAGGCCACCTGATCTTCTCCCAGATCAGGCCTGGAGCTGTTAGTATTGTCGGAGTCGGAGAGGCTCCAATATTGAAGATACATCTAGTGGCAGCGTGGGAAAGAGCAGGAGCACCTCACAAGAGTTCCGGGTTCCCAAGCTTGAAAGGGAGGAGCCATGAGGGTCTCCATACTCCAAGTCATCAAGGCCTAGGACTTGCAGGGCATCGGGAGAAATGGAAGGGAGCTTGGGGCACTCAGAGGACACGCAGAATGGTGGAGTGGGGTTCTTGAGTGTCCTTGGAGAGAAGGGGGTCTTACAGAGCTGAAGGTGCAGGGTTAGGAGACGACACGTTGGCCCAGGACTGCAGCGGGACAGAGGTTAGCCTTAAGTGGACGTGGACTTCCACCAGCGCCCGCCTTCTCTCGGGGTCCCCGGTGCCTGCTGAGCGCGCCCGAGCCGCAAGGGGGCGACGGCAGAGAGGGCGGCGTGCGCGAGGCGGGGGATTCAAGCGCGTTATAAGGCGCGGACCTGACCCGACGCGCTCGCTCGCCGCTGTCGCCGCCGCCGGCATGGCCTCCGCTCACAGCCCCGCCGGAGCTCTCCTGCTGCTCACCTGCGCCAGCCTGATCGCCGCCATGGGCCTCCCGGAGCCCGCCGCGCCCGGGGGTAACCAGGCACATCCGCGGCTGCCCGGGAACGAGCTGCCCACCTCGCCTGCCGACAGCCTACCGGTAAGACGCTCCCGCGCCCCAGACCGCTCTGTCCCAGGGGACCAGAGACTGCAGGAAGGTGTCCAGCACCCCAAATGCCCCGGACAGGGGCTCAGTGAGACCAAGGGTTGTGTGGTTGCGCCGTCAGCACGGTGTGGTGGCTTTGGCGGCAGAATTCTACTAAGCCAGTAGGAGAAGCTGAGGAAGGTGTGAGAAGCAGATAACTTGCTCGTAGCAAAACTGGAAGAGTAGCAGAAGAGAGGGGCTCTCAGACCCAGCTCCTTTTTGTTAGGCGACTTTCTAACTTAGGTGTTAGGTGTTAGAAAGGACTGATGTAACCAGGCTCTGCCCCTCCCTTCTCTCCCAAGATCTCCACCTGAAATGCTGGGGTGGGGGGTTGTGTGTGTGTGATGGGGGGGAATGCAGGCTGGGGTGGGTGTGACCAAAGGGCTGCAGAGTGCCAATTGGCAGCCCTCACTGGAGCCACTCAACCCTGGAAGCAAGGGCTCATGGAAGAGTCCCTGTGGGCCAGTCACAAGGAGACCCCAGGCCAGAGTTCTGTCCTCGGCACCCCAGAGGCCAACAAAACATTCACTAAGACAGCTGGAGATGTTTACAACCCTGGGCTTCCTCTGCAAGGTATTCCAAGGTCCCTTCCACCATCTCATCCCGCCTCACCCAGTCGCCTCTCTGGGTCAGTATTCCCCACTCCCCCACAGACCTAACCAACGGGAAGCAGGAGTGGGCTGGAATTTACCAGTGGGGTTTTGGTCTTTAACCCTCTTTGGAGTGTCAGGCCGTCACCAGCTTCCTTATAGCTGGAACATGACTGGCCAGGGCAGCTGCCCAGCCCCAAGCCAACTCCTAGGACCCCAGACCATCATGGCTAACGGGTCTGAGCCCATACACAGCTCACGGGTCCCCCTGGAAGGGTCGTGACCTATAATGGGAAGCAGTGTATCATACATTTTCAATGAGGGTGCCAGTCCAGGAGGAAGCACAGAAGCCTCCATCTTGCCAGCATAGCAGCCTGGCCAGTGACCCACAAGGCACAGGTTTGGGTCATTCTGAGTTCCTGGGTCATTATATCAGACACTGGAGTCTGTGCCTATGACTTCTTCTAAGGTCCCTTGAATCATTGCCTCCCCAGTTGGCAGCCCTGTGTGGGACCCAGACTGCTTGAGGCTCACTGATTTGCCAAAGTCCTCTGCCAGGAAATGAGGCTCCTTTCAGATCTAGGCTACTTGGGCCAGTGTTTTATAAGTGTTAAGAATGCTGGGTGGTGGTGGCGCATGCCTTTAATCCCAGCACTCTGGAAGCAGAGGCAGGCAGATCTCTGAGTTCGAGAGCAGCCTGGTCTACGAGAGCAAGTTCCAGGACAGGCTCCAAAGCTACAGAGAAACCCTGTCGGGGAGGGGGGGGGGAGTCCTATGTCGTGGCCTTGAATCATGGCCTCTCACCTGGCCCCTCTGCTCACCATGGCCTATGAGCACCCACAGTGGCCCCAAGGCTGGTCTCTTTGCTGTTTCTGACTGTGGGGAGGGAAAAGAGAACCTGCTGTCAGCCATGATTCACAGTCACCTCCCGAGCACCTGTGGGTGGTGGTGGCTCTCAAGGGTGGTGATGTTGTCCTAGTCTATCTCGAGGAAGAGCAGGAAGATGTGTCTCAGAGCACCTGCCACAGAGTCCCACCTCCCACCTTCCTGCAGCCTGGGCTCTCTCAGGAGTGCAGTGAGGTTTCGTCCTCCATGGGCTGGGGATGGGCAGGGGGTGGGAGGGAGATGACGATGACGATAACGATGACACCAACGATGCTACCTCTGAAAACACAAGTAATAAGGTTCAGACTGCTGCCAAGCAACACCATAGAGCAAACCAACCAGCCCGTGGCCATCTGTGTTCTAGGAGCCAACCATGGCGCACGCACACAGTGTGGATCCCCGGGATGCCTGGATGCTCTTCGTTAGGCAGAGTGACAAGGGCATCAACAGTAAGAGGAGGAGCAGGACCAAGGCCAGGAGGCTGAAGGTAAGCATCTTGTGCTACCACCCTCACCAGCCCCTTTGCACCCTTGTCCCCAACAGCAAATGCCACAGAAAGAATCACATATGAAGCCAGGGTCCAGCAAGCCTGGAGTTAGAAGCCTGGTTCCAGTCATTCACCTTATACCCTTAGGATGCCAGGTCCTCCCTAGCTTTTCACTCATGCCCAGAGAGAGAAAACACATGCCCAACATGTGTTTGGGAATCAGAGTACCTTCAGACTGATACAGGAGGCCCTCTCAGTATGGTCCTGGCCTGGGCAGGAAAGCTGGCACTTGGTGACTCATGCATTGAGCTCTTCAAAGTGACTCTGGATCAAGGCTGGGCCTTACTGTGAGTCGGTCCTCTCTATCGAGGTCAGCCTTGGCTGCCTGAGAGGTGCTGGGTTGGCCCTGCACCCTTAGCCACCTGACCTTGCCCAGGCTTCTCTATGCAGGAATGTGCCTCCCCTCTCTTAGGTTCTGACCCAAACCAGTACAAACTCCTTCAGGGGCCCCAGAACCAAGTGCAGTGAAGACTTGCTTGTGTGTCGCATGTCAGAATGAGGTGCAAGTCCTCAGAAGCAGCCTGGAATGGTCCTTTCTCTGGAAATCACACCAGGAGAGGCAGCTGCAATGTTCTTCCGCATACAGAACCTGCCCTGCCCTGTGCCTGCCCTAGTGAGCTTCATATGGGCACAAACCCATCTGCACACTCCCTGGCCTGTGGCTTTCACTCCCTGCTTGATGACAAAGGAATATGAGAGCCCAAAGGACCTCCACCAAGAAGGGAAGAGGCCACAGCCACTGTGGGAACTCTCCTGCCTGCCTCTCTCTAGCAGGACCCGGCAGTAGGGATCACCCATGTCCTCCCCTCAAATGTTCTCACCACCCACCTTTCCTTCCAGCTTGGCCTGCCAGGACCCCCAGGGCCACCAGGTCCTCAGGGCCCCCCAGGCCCTCTTATCCCATCTGAAGTTCTTCTGAAGGAGTTCCAGCTATTGCTGAAAGGTAAGGGTGCCACCCTGTGGGCACATGCTCTGTGGTAAGCCAGAAGAGCATCTCTACTGGGCAGACTTCAGCACCCAGCAAGCACCCGCTAAGTTGCTCTCCAGTTGACAGTCCTACCTGCCATGGGGTGGGTTGGGGGTGGGAGAAATGAGGTAGGCAGAGGGCTCATGGAGGAATGCAGATTGCCTTTTACTGTTCTTCACTGGGGACCAGCACCCCCATCTCCAAGATAGACCAGTCCAGGGGTGGGGAGCGGCTTTCCCTATCTTCTGGAGTTGGCTGTACCAGGGAGAACTGCTTCCATCCCGCAGCTTGTTTAAATACATTTCCAGCAGGTGAAGAGCCTTTGTGTTATCTCCACTGTAGCCACAATAGGTATTTATATACAACTTTTCCAAAAATATGGGTGTGGCCGATTGAGGAAACTAAAGGACGAGGGTGCTGGGTTCTGGCTATGCCCCTGCTGGAGCTTAAAGCAGACAGCATGGAGGGAAACTGGCAGCTGCAGGGTCAGGGAGGAGTGTCCCCAGGACTCACGGGGCGGCCAGCCTCAGTCCCCACATTCCAGGGTTATGGGCCGGCGGGCAGGGTGGTCCACTGACCGCTCTGTGTCAGGTGCAGTGCTGAAGAGGGAGAGCTCGGAGCCCAAGCACTGCACCAGCGACTTCACCACACCAGCCTCGGGCAGCCCCTCCCCGGTCCCGCCCACCCAGGAGCATGACCACAACCAGGACCCAGGTGCCCTGTTGGCGGTGCTGGCTGCGGCCCTGGCCCAGGGCGCAAGGGCACCACACGTAGAGGCCGCGTTCCACTGTCGCCTGCGCCGGGATGCACAAGTGGAGCGGCGCGTGCTTCATGAGCTCGGAGTCTACTACCTGGTGAGTGGGGCGCAGCTGGCAGGGTGGAGCAGGGTCGGACCCCAGGTGACCTCGCCTGTGTGCTCCTTAGCCCAACGTCGAGGGAGCCTTCAGCAGAGGCCCAGGCTTGAACCTGACCAGTGGCCAGTACACCGCACCAGTGTCTGGCTTCTATGCTCTCGCCGCCACTCTGCACGTGGGTGAGGCCCGGGGCATGGTGGTGGGGCGCCTGCTGCCCTGGTCCTGACAGCACTCATGTGACCACCTTGGCTTGTGATCCCTGCAGCGCTCACAGAGCAGCCGCGAAGAGGACCGCCAAGACCTCGGGACCGTCTGCGGCTGCTGATCTGCATCCAGTCTCTTTGTCAGCACAATGCGTGAGTGGGAGTGGGCGCTGCAGCCTGGCCCATGCCAGTGTAGAGGAGCCTCCTCTATTCCTACTACCACTAGGGCGTGGGGGACCCTGACCCCATCCTGCCTAACTCTTTCCCAGGACCTTCTCTGTTCTGCCTCCTTTCTGTCTCTTCCTGACACCAGAACACTCACTCAGGACAGAGGGAGTGCCATATCTGGAAGGGCTTTGGGGGGAATTCCATGAGGTCCCTCACTGGTCACTCTTCCGCACCTCACCTATGAAATTTCCCCATGATTTAAATTGCTCATGGCTGGCGGTGTCCACCCTGTGGGCCTCATCTGGTCCATGAGAACAGGGACTGTGGCCCACTCTGCCTGGCACCTGGAATGGGGGCCAGGCAGAGGGCAGGTGCTCTGCAGAGCTGGATGGAGGGTGCGTGAATGAAATGTCTCAGATTTAATCTGGCTTTGGGCTTTCTGTGTTGTCTGCTGCCTCCCATCTTGACTTGTACTTGTTTCCCATAGGAGAGCCAGGACTTGGTGCTCTTTGCACTGTTCGTCTCTCCTGTCTTTCCTCCCTCTGATGACCCGATTCAAACAGCCCTCTCCTAGGGATGATGGCTCTGTACCTAGCGCCTCACTGTACATGGTCTCGATTGCTGAATGCTGCTGCTCGATTGCTGAATGCTGCTGCTGCGGGTACTGTGCGTGAAGCTGGTGAGGCCTGGGGACAGGCTGACCATCTTTCTGTCTTGGGTGCAGCTCCCTGGAGACCGTCATGGGGATGGAGCACAGCAGCGAGGTCTTCACCATCTCAGTGAATGGTGTCCTGTATCTGCAGGTGTGTGGGGCTGTGCCGACCATGCAGGAGGTATTGGGGGGTTGGCAGGTGTTCAGGGTCACTGGGCATAGCACCCTCAGACATACTGAAGTGCTGGTGCTAGCTTAAGAAGAGCCAGGCTTTAGGTCCCGTGATCTGTGTTGGGGGACAAATCTCACTTTCAGCCCGTACAAGAATCTGATGATGTGATAGGTGCTTCCAGCCACCCAGGCCCTCCCAGGAGGCCAGGAGGGTGGTCACAGAATTTGATGCCTGAGCCCTCTGGGACTATGGGAGGCCCAGGACAGTTATTTCCTACACGGAACCTCAGTGACAGCCTCTTGCCACTGTGATCTGCCTAGTGGTAGGGATGCAGATGTCAAAACAGATTTACTAAAAAGGAAAGTGTGTGGAATGAGTGTTCACGTATGAGGGAGCTCTGTTAGCTCCAGGATTGGGGTTTGGCTCAAGCCAGTTGTAGTGCTGGAAGCATGAATTCTGCTGAATTCTAAGGGTGCATGCGCCATGTGGGACCTCAGGCGCAACTACCCTGGGTGGATCTCAAATCCTTACCATGGCAGGTAGTGTTAGGCTACTGATGCGTGGACCACGCTGGGGCAGCAAGGTTGGGGCATTGCTTACAATGACTGCAGTCATGGCAGGCCTGGGAGACAAGCTATGCAGCAGAGGACCCTGCTAGCCTCCTTAACCCCAGCGGGGCCCCAGGTAGGAGCTTGCTCCCATACACCAAGATATGGAACACTAGAGAGTAAGAGTAAGAGCCAGATGTACTTACTAGTTTTGAGCACGAGACTAGTCAACATGGGCTCTGGATTTAGGTCTGTCCCTCCTCCCATGTGGGGCAGAGTAGGTCACAGTGTGGACAATGACCCGCGATGAACACTGCAGGCTGCCCAGGGCCTCTGCTGACACGTGCCCTTCCCTGCAGACAGGACATTACACCTCCGTCTTCTTGGACAATGCCAGCGGCTCCTCCCTCACGGTACGCAGCGGCTCCCACTTCAGTGCCATCCTCCTGGGCCTGTGAGGGCTGCTGTGGGGGCTCTTACCCTCACCAAGCACAGTGGTCTGATTTCTACAGTGTCAAATGACAATGGCTCTGTGCAAGAGAAAGCCCACTGGACCTCTACACTGGGCACTGCATGACCTCTCAGCACAGCGACCCTGCACATTCCTGATGAGGTAATGGAAGGAAGCAGGCTCTCCCAAAACCAACAGCAAATTGTGGGTATCATAAGCCCCAGCTTGGCTCTTCTGGGACCATTTTGCATATTTGGTAGCACTTGCTGTACCCCCAGCTGCAGAGCTGGCACCCTTGTGTCTCCATACAGCCTCAAATTCCTTCCTGTGGCCCAGCATCTTCAGTACTTTGTATGGAAATATAGCTAGGCCACTACCTGGAACAGGTACCTGTACAAGACAGGCTATGGGGAAATGATTGTAGGTCCTTAGTGCTTAGTAGGGGGGCCCAGGCCTTCTTGGACTACACACCCTGTCTACAGATTCCTGGGTCCATATACAGCCACTGTTACATGCCTCTGCCTGCAGTGTAACCTCAAGGACCTAGGGACTCAGGCCAGTGAGCCTGGGCCTGGCAGCAGTTTCTACTTCTAGGGTAAGCAAGATGAATTACAGGCCCCTTAGTGGGTACCCTAAACATATGTGATCTGTACTTCTCTGCCATCCCTTTCATAGACAAGCCATCTTCACCCCTACAAAGGCTACCCTTCCCCAACCCTTCTGAAGCTCTGGCTCACAAGCATCCCTCCTGAGACCCACTCCTGCTGCAGAGCGTGGTCTGGCTGAGCGGGTGGTCTGGTGGTGAAGAAGCTAGTTGAGGACTCTTCCCATGAGAAGGTGCAGGGCTGCCTTCCAGCTTGTCTCAATGCAGTCTCATTTCTAACAAAATGTGGGACTGCCCCACACAGGCAGTGGAGAGGACTGGGACCTCCGAGGTCCCATAGCTTGCTGATGAAGAGCTAACACCAGCATATCCATCCCCACCAGATGCTTCGGTATCTCTTGGCCTAGCAAGAGTGTTCAAGCCTGGGATGAGGGGCAAGAGAGTAGTAATTACCAGTCGTTTCGTCTTTTAGCTGACCTCAGGATGAGGTTACTACATCAACCCTAATGCCCTTCTATAATCAGACTTCTCCCCTGAAGCAGGCTGCCAACACACAACAAGGGAATGGAGGGCTCTGTCCATGAGCGGGCCTGGCCCGATTCTCAGTAGGGCTAGTACCCACCCTACCAGGAAGCACTGTACTGGCCTGGGTCCTGACTCCCTGGCACTTTGATAAGTGCATGGGGTAGGCACACCCTTCTCTGGACTTCACTTTGTATCCAGTAGGCACAGACATGTTAGAGAAGTTATCTTCTACCCTTGAGAAAGCCACATTAAGCACATATCTTAACACTGTGTTACACAGCAACTTAAAAGTATTTATTGTGTCCTACTGCCTGGAAGAATGTATTTATGTACTGAATCACACAAAGCTGTGACAATGAAGGACAGACCTGAGGCTCATTACCTTTTTCCAGCCTACCTCACCAAAGACTGTGAGGGGTGAGATCTGGAAAGAGAGGGAGAGATGCCTCCAGTCTTGGGGCTCCTCTTGAAGGTGGCAGGGGAGGCTTTTACTAACGAGGAAGGCTACAGGTGTCTTTCAGCAGACAGTGGCACTTAGGGACAAGGGTCATAACCTCTGAGGCACTGAATGATTCCTGCATTACTACAGAGTTTACTGAATTAAAAGTGTTCTGCTTTCTGATGAGGTGGCGTTCTGTTCCGTATGCCAGGCTGTCCTGGTCCTAGTCTCCGAGCAGGATTGCTGTCTCATTCTCCGGAGAAGGGGTAGCACTGATGCTCTTTAAGTTACATTTTTCTTGAATTGCATTTATTTGGGAGGTTGAAATATGCATACCATGGTGTGGAGATGGAGGTCAGATGAGACAGCCTACGATAGTGGGTCTCTCCTTCCACTTTGTGGAGATTGAATTTAGGTTCCCAAGCTTGGCAGGAAGCATCTTTACCAGCTGAGCCAGTGCACTGGTCCCACATTCGGTTATTTTAAAAATAATTCCTTTTTGTACGTAGTATGTGCAGGCATACATTCATGTGTGAGCATGTGAATGCAGAGGCCAGAAGTCTTGTTCCTTGCACCTTGTTTTATGCAGCAGTACCTTACTAGGCCCCCAATATAAGTCCTGAGACTAACAGTGAGTCTAATGCTATGGTGGGTGGTGACTTCTGGGTGAAAGCCAGAACAGTCCTTTAAGGGAATGAGAGTGAGCTGAATGTAGCTGTTTAGGAGGCCTATGGGACTGGCACTCCATGAGGTACCTTTACCTATGGGCTCCTTTCCAGCCGCACCTGGGTTCCTGCTGGAACTACTCAACATGTGTTCTGTACAGAAAACCGAACAAAGCCTGACTGCCACCCATCATCCCACTGCAAGGTCCCACTCCCCAACGCAGTTCTAATGAGGGTGAGAGCATGTGACCTACATGACAGTCATCATGGGCCTGTCCAAGATGGCCGGGATGGTTCTGACAAGGACAGACCCAGAGCATATTCTAAAGTCAACAGTTAACCCAGGACCAGTCACTCAAAGCAAATTAAAGGAACTCAAATGACTAGGAAAAAAAGAAACCTTTATTTACAACCATAGAAGTCCCACAGGAGTACACACACTGTGCACAAACAAAATGAACCTGCAAGTCAAGAGTGCATGTGCTGGCCCTCAGTGTCCTATCCTCACCACCATCACCGTCACGTTGTCTGCCGAGCCCCGCTGCACTGCCTTGTTGGCCAGCCTGTTGCATGCAGCTTCATAGCGGGCATCAACAGCAGGTTTCCCTTCTCGGGTCTGGATCTTTTCATCCTACCAAAGGGATGGAATCTGAGTGACCAGGACATCTCAAGACACTACAACCAGGGAAGGGCCTGCTCTGTCCCTAACAAAAGCCCCCAATAGGGTTTATGTTGAAAGGCTACAAGGATTACTCCTAACACAGGGGCTATGGAGCGAGCAGTGGAGACAAGTGGTACACCCTCTAAGATGTCTCACCTCAAGGCAGGACAAGATGAAGTTCACAGCTTCCTCTGGGGTAAAGACCTTGAAGAGCCCATCACAGGCCAGCAAAATGAACCTACAATATTAGGAAGAAACAAGGGGGTTTCAGCCACAAGCTCTTGAACAGGTGGTTTAAGGGACAGTTCAGTGGAAGAGTGGCTGGCTGCCTAACGTAAGGAAGGCCCTGGTTCCATACTCAGTACCCTAAAAACAAAAATAAAAGGATAGTGGCACATACATATGTGATCTTGGTTGTCTAGAGGTAGAGAAGGGGTCATTCTGGCTACAGAGCAGGTCTGACACCAGGTAGGCTACAAAAGACCTTGTCTCAAAAGACCAAAATCAACTGAGATTGGTAGTACACGCCTTTAATCCCAGCACTCAGAAGACAGAGGTAGGTGGATTTCAAGTCTAGCTTGGTCTACACAATGATATTCTGTCTCAAAAAAACAAAGCAAAAAAATATCAAACCAAACCAGTAACTTTGTATCTATCCAACAACACAGCAGCCAAAAAAATTTTAAGGCAAAAGAAATAAGTCCTTTTTTGAGCTGTGGGTGGGATGCTGTCCACTACAAAGGGAGTATATTTTCCCAACCCATAAATAGAATCAGAGACCTTAACATGAGATGCTGCATTCTGGCACTTCAGGGACAAACAGCAGCAGCTATGTAGTGAACATACCCTGTGATCAGCCACCACAGGCCCAAGGATAGAGAGCTAAGGGCAAGCTAAGAGAGGCATCCTTGGGTGGTGCTTCATTCCTGAGGGCCCAAGATTCAAAAGTATACCCCACTTTCTAGTCTGAACACAGCTCAGGCTCCCCATGATGACCAGAGGAAGCCTCTGAGCAGCCATGTTTCACTGTGGCAGCTACTGTTGTCCTGGCCTGGCTTTAAGGTAGTTAGCTGCCTTTGCTTCCTATCCTGTACACAGTTTCCCTCTTCTGTCAGGGCATGTGCCCAGCCATGTTTTCTGAGCACACAGCCCGAGGTTGGGACACAGTGGAAACAAGATAAGCAGGCTACTCTTCCCAGTGTTTTCAGTCATATTCAGAGTAATCAATCATACAACATGTACTTATAACACAGTCAAGGAGTTATGAAAGCAAAGTAGAGCCCCAGGGCAGAGAAAGCTATCAAGAAAATCCTACAAGCGGCCTCTAGAAACATACCCCAAAACCCCAGGATGGCTAACAACATGGTACAGGCAGGCAGGTGTCAGAGCAGGGCACTTCCTGGCAGGCCTGGGAGCTGTGCCATGAGGCTGCCATATGGCTACTATTCTCTGCCACCCACCCTGCTTCAGCTCAGTCCTGTTTTCTGAGCTCCTTCCACTCCTTCCTGTTCAGTTTGGCTCAGCCTTCACCATCCTGCTAAGAGTCAGGAGAGCTCCCTGCTCTGTAGCCTGGTCCTCCCTGAGCTGCCCTCACAAGCCTGTGCCTGATCTACCTGCAACAGGCAACACCTGAACAGGAAGTCTGTCTCAGCCTCTGCCCCTGTAACTCTACATTTATGAGCTAAAACCCAAGATCCTGCTCAATCTGTCCCCAGAATGCTTTCCACTCCCGCCCCCTGCAATCCATCAAGTCCGGAGCCACCATTACTAGCACAGACCTGGCTAGTCACTTGAGCGGGCTGATGAGTCTGGATGCCCCTTCCCCTACTGCTAAAGCCTCCTAGGATGCACAACTTCCATACTCCTGCGATAAACCAAGCATTCATCTCATTTGTTCCCTGACCACCATGGATCCTATGAAACCAGAGACCATGGTCTGGCTTTGCACCCCAGGGTCAGGTGCATTGCCTACCCACCCCAAACTCCTCCAGCAAAGACAGCAAGAGAAACAAGGCCCTGTGCATGTACACCAACGCTTTTGGTGATCATTTGCTTTTACCTGTCATTGGGGGTCAGCTGACAGCGTCTGATATCAGGCACAGATGTGACCCCACAGCGCTTGTACTGCCCATCTCCAATGGAACGGGATACCTCCAGCACGCCCAAGACACGCCCATCTCTAAAATGAGGGGAACAATGTCAGACTCTCATTTGACAGGCCAAAGGTCCCCCAAAGCAGTAACTCGGAGATCATGGTAGCTGGACCTGATATTTCTTTTTGTTTTTCAAGACAAGATCCTGTTCCCCTAGGGGCTGGAAACTCACATAGCTGTACACTTGTGACAACTGGCACCATCCATCCTCATCGCTGGTGGGCTCAACAGTGAACCTCAGTACAATCTCAGTAGTACACCCCTTCCCCAATTTCCTAGGCTCAGTTATCTTGACAGGATGGGGTGAGTCCTAAGCCCCTCCTTAAATGACTGAGCATGCAGCCTGTGTTAAGGTGGCCAGGAAAGAGCATGGTTTGCACTCTAATGAACTAGGTTAGGCTCAAAGGACCGCTGAGGCTATGGCCCTAGATGCTTTCTTCACATCAGCAGTGTTACAATCACACTCACATATTTTCACCCAGACTTTTTGGTGAGGGGCAGGGAAGAAACAGGAGATGACATGTAAACAGGAAAAGGCACCTCAGGCGGACACCATGAACCAAGAGAACCAGTGTGGAGTACCACTGCCCCCAAGAATCAACCTAGCCCAGGCTCTCACTGTGACCACATGGGCCCTCAGGCCACCATTTGTAAGACTTAGTAAATGCCAAAGCAGTGTGGTAGCTCAGTATCACTGAGGTTCCTACGTCATAATTGAGACGCTGTACAGGCAGACAAGTGGGACAGGAGTCCTTACTGGGCTGGTACTATAGTCCTGGAGTCCAGCCTGTCACCCACAGCGACTCACTTCCACCAGCCTAAATGTTTTTAATCCCTAAAGACTTCTGCTGGCACCTGGGAAAAGCAGAGCATTCTAGAACATATATTATTAGCCTGAATTGGAACAGAGTACCTGGGAGTAGGGGTGCTCAGCTTAGGAAGCAGCTCCACACTTAAGAGCACCTCCTCTGCAGCCCTCAGACCACAGCCGTGTGCAGAGCCTTCCTACTCTAGTTCTCCCAAGCTAAGACTGCTGCTCTTCATGGATTTGGGGCTCAGCTGGCTACTGAAAAGAGTAGGAGACTGCTGACTTCTCTAGCATGTGCAAAGCCAGTGGGAACATGAGCATGACTATACATACGCTCTGGTCTCTGAGGGCATGAGACTAGCACTCAGCCCAGGCCCAGGAGCACTGCACTGATGGACTGCTATGTCAGTGTCTTGGAAAGCCTCTCTCTCCCTGTCTGGCTAGATCTTGCCCTGTAAAATAACTTCTCTTTGTGCTCTCAGAGGAACCCCTGCAGCACACTGCCTTCATTGTAATGATCACGTACAAAGTTGTTTATTTTTTAAAGAAACACCAGAAAAAAAAATTGTAAACAGGGATGAAAACATGCCTCTCTAAATGTCCTTCATTCGATTTGTTTTGAACTATGTGGTAAGGGAATAAGAGATACACAACCACATTAACTATTTTAAACTGTTGGTGGCATTATAGACATTCATGTGGGCACACAGCCATCACCACTGTCCACCCCTAGACTGTTCTCTCTGCCCAAACTAAATAAATCTCTGTTCCCAGTTAAGAGAAACACTAACTCATCCCCT